GGCAGCCCAGCTCCAGGTCGAGCTGTTGTTCAGCATCTTAGCTGTGGAGGGCAGCGTCACTGGCCCTCATATGTGGGATCCGAACCGGGGCCTCTGTCATCCCAAGCCAGTTATTAACCATCTCGCCACTCGGCCGGCCCCCAATTGTGTTTCTTAATAGACTACCTTTATAAAAAAAACTACTTAATGTTACTATTTCAAATGGTAAGAATATTTCTGAGAGATGACCTGATTCTTACATTTTAAGAAAGCAATGGTGAAAAAAATTAATAAAATGGAAGGATCAGGTTAAAAAGTACAAAAATACTCACCCTATAACATTATTGGCCAAATCCTACCACCACCATCATCATCAGTCTCCTGCCTACATTTATTGAGCACCTGTGTCCTAGAACTATTCTTAACACATTACCTACAGCAACTCCTTCCATCCTCAGTTAGCCCTACAGAACAGGTGCCACTGCCAGCCTGACTTCACAGATGAATAAACTGAGGCGCATAAAGGATCAGTGACGGCCAGAATCACCCAACCAGGAAGATCTGAACCCATCTGACTCCATAGTCAAACCTCTCGGTCACTGCTTCAGCCTCAGACACAAATCAAAGTTTTTTATACTGGCCACAATATTTAGAGCACCGAAAGTTCTGTGGCTTCTGTGTAACCACAGAAGGTTCTAAAGCGGAGCACCATGTGTTCAAGCTCCGAGATGGGCTAACCACCGGACTGCCCTCTAATAAACATCTGTGTGCACTACCATACGCTGTCAGTGTTCTTGAGGAATTTAGAGAGGAGGACATTCATTTGTTCATTCATTCAAATATTTCCTGAGCACCTGCTAGAACCAGGCACTGGGTATTGTCCTGTAAAAGGAATATGGTGGCAAATGAGACTCAGATCCCTGTCCTCATGAGGTTTTCAATACAGGAAGGAGGAAGGACGGAGGGCACACAAATAATATGATTTTAGATAGTGATGAGAAAAGGGTTTGCAGCAAAAAAGTGCCAATTTGTCATCAGAAGCTCCATAGAAGAAACAGGATTTTAAAGAAACTTGTGAACAAGGAAAAAGAGGTATCTTGGCCAGTTAGAACCCATCCTGAGCAGGAGTGGCTATAGCCTGAGAGAAATTCCCCTGTGCTAAAGAAATGAAGGGAATGTGAACATCAGACAAGTGGAGAGTGGAGGGGGTGGTTGGGAAAAAGCTGGCGCCAGAGGGAGAGAAGGTTTCTCCCTCCAACTCCACACGATCAAAGGGGGACTCAGGGTTCAGGCTCCCCTTCTTGGGATACTACCTTGTAATCCCTGCATATGCTCCCTCTATGTATGTTTTCTCACCTTTGGAGGGGTTGAAAGTCAAGATGGTGGTTTTTATCTCCTCACCCCTTTTATTTTTAATTAGATACATCAAAAATAAGTTAGCACCAATAAAACAGGCTTCTCTTTGCCCAGACTTTGATCAGGAGAGGGCAGTCCTTTCTTTGAAGGGGCTCAAACAACATCGAACTGTGTTATTAATTGTAAGAATGTTCAGAGGATGTAAAATTTCTACTGAGACATGAATAGGTTTCCAACTCTCTAATTCAGTAGCAACACTGCCTTTTAAAACTTCCAGAGAGTGTGCCACTAAGATGGATATTACATTAGTCAACAGTGACTAATGGACCAGCAGACGTGGACTCCCTGTAAGGCATTTGAAAAGTTAACTGAACTGCTATTCAATCTCTTAAAAGGTATTGAGAGAATACATTTGAGAGAACGACATTCTTGAACATCTAGAAAGAAAGAATTCTAGAAAAACTGGTTCACATGCCCTTGAAAGTATCCCAAGAGTTATATAACAGGAAGTCCTTAACTTGGAATCCATGGAGTTCCTGAAACTGTATGTACTGATAAATGTATATCTGTATATGCACATAGAGTTATTCATTCATTAGAGAGCCAAATGGGTCCATGAACCATGGGAAGTTTTAAAGTGCTGTCATAAGAAATCAAAATTTTCATTTGGATATTTCTAATCATTAGGATAATTATTCCATAAAAACAAAGTTCTGGCTGCGAGGGCTCTGAGACCAGAGTGAGTGGGCACTGTTTCATGTCATGTAAGAAACAATTCATTAGGAAGAGGTACTCTGATGCCAGCAGCTAGTGAATATCAGGGGGAAGCAGCCAAAAGGGCTGGAAATAAGACTGTCCAGTCAGTACAGGGTCCTGAATTGTAGGACCAATTTTGTAACTGCCCAGCTCTGGAACCTCATGACACTCACAACCACCCTGGCCACCGTTTTCTATTTAGATGAGGAGAGAGTCTGGTTTGCATTCAGACCTAAAACTTTCATAGACTCATTAAAAAAAAGAAAAAGAAAAAAAAAAAGGCAGTCTCAGAGTTTGCTTTGATGGGATTTTGTGTTTACATACTGAAGGTGAAGTTCAAGGCAATAACCAAAACATTTATTTTTTTTAAGTGCTGGTCAGCATGAGAAGAGAAACCATCTGTTGTTGATTGCAGTAACAGAACTTACTCCTGCAACTGCTGAGAGACAACAAGCAGATGAAAGAGACATAAAAAGATTTAAGTACGCTATGAAACATGCTAATTGTTTGTTGGATCATTTACCGATTATATGACCAGACTCTCCTCCTGGGATCTCCACCCTTCAGTATAACTGTCTACTACTGGGTGTTTCCTCTTGAATACCCTGCAGGCACTTCCGACTCAGAACTTGTCCAAATCTGAACTCACCATCGTCCTCCCCAAACAACTCCTTCCCCAGTGTTCCTTTTCTCAGTAAATGGCTTCTCAAGCCAGAAACCTGGGAGTCATGCTTGATTCTTCTTTCTCCTCCAGCGCCCCACATCTCAACCCATTATTAGTCCCCGTCTCTTCAAACGACAGCAGGCCCTTCTGGCTTTCATTCTTCACATGCAACAAAAGTGATCTTTAAGTCTTACATTTTTCAGATTAAAACCCTTTGGTGGTTTTGAGTTTTCCTTGGGAAAATGCCTGACATCTTACCGCCGGTTACGGGGTTCTCCAGGATCTGCCCTCTTGTCTCTTGATCTTCATCACCTTACTCTTCCGGACACCACACCCCTCTTCTCTTGGGATCTCGCTCCTGCCTCCAGTGTTTCCTCACTTGCTCTTTGTTCCTTGGGCCTCAAACACCGCCTCCTACTCTTTACCTAGTTTAAAACACCTAAAAGGATCTTATTCTTCCTTCAAGCCTCGCCTCCCCTCATTTCCTCAGGAAAAGCCTTCCTGAACTCCACGCCCCCCACAAGAAGGTAGGCTCCCCAGGAGGTGGTGAACTTAGCATACCTCCTACTAC